CGAAGCCACAATTCTGGTTCACAGGTAGATGATCAACCACTGAGCCATACTGGCCGGGCCATTCTCTGTGTTTAATGTTGGTCTTTTGTATGTGTTCATTGTTTTGGATGCATGCATCTTTTTAATGTAAATGGTATTGTTTTATGTATTTGATTTTATTTTTAAAAATACTTTCAACTCAACTCTATGCTTTTAAGATCCACCCCTATTGCTATATCCATCTAGTCCACAGCTTCTAACTGTTGTGTAATTCCCCAGGATGCGTCCATGTCGCCACCACCACACGTCTCTTACAGAGCCAAGTGATAACATTTTTCAGATACACACACACACACACACACACACACACACACACACACGTATATGTAAAGTACAGGGCATGCATATTTCCAATTTCACTAAGTCTTGCCACATTGCTTTCTCCAGTGGCTGCGCCACCCACTCCCGCTAGCAGTGTCTGAATGCCCCTCTTGGCCCACAGAGCCAGCTCAAGGGCACGTCAGCTGGATTCCAAACAGGTTAGGTAAAGAGGGGGTTTTCTAACTTGACATTATCCAGTTTCCTAAATGTTGACAGTCTAATAGGTATAAAGTAATAATTAATTGTCTTATTTGCATTTCCCTGATAACTAATGTGTTTGAACATCTCTACATATTGTTTAGTCAGACTGCCCCCTTCATCTCTAGCGTTGAGATAATGAATCCCCACCACTGGCCCTGGGTTGTAATCTTTTGTCATATATTGGCTCGTTAATTTTTTATTGTGGTAAAATTCACATAACATAATATTTACCATTTCAGTCATTTTAAAGTACACAATTCAGCGTCATTAAGTACATCTGCAATGATGTGTGGCTGTTATCACTGGTTCTAGAATTTTCTCACCACCCCAAAAAGAAACCTCAGACCCTTTAGGTAGTCTCTTTTTTTTTTAAAAAAAAATATATATATATTTTATTGATTTTTTCAGCAAGGAAGGGAGAGGGCTAGAGAGTTAGAAACATCAATGATAGAGGAACATCGATCAGCTGCCTCCTGCACACCCCCCACTGGGGATATGCCCGCAACCAAGGTACATGCCCTTGACTGGAATCGAACCCGGGACCCTTCGGTCCGCAGGCCGACGCTCTATCCACTGAGCCAAACAAGTCAGGGCATAGGCAGTCTCTCTTCATTTCCACTTCCCTTTAGCACCCTGGCAAGCACTAATCTGCTTTCTGTCTCTATGGATTTTTTTAATCTTTATATTTTATGTAAATGATATTGTACAATAAATGACCTTTTGTGACTGGCTTCTATTCCTTTGCATAATGTTTTCAAGGTTCACCCATGTTGTAGCATGGATCAGGACTTCATTCCTTCTTATGACTCAATGTTCCATTGCAAGGATATTCCGCATTTTGTTTACCAGTTCATCTACTGATGAATATTTGGGTTGTTTCCACCTTTTGGCTATGGTGACTAGAGCTGCTTTGCAGATTCCTGTACAAGTTTTTGTTTAAACATGTCTTTAATTCCATTGGGTCATATGTAAAATTCTATGTTTAACTAATTAAGGAACTGCCAAACTGTTTTCTACAGGAGCTGCACCATTTTACAATCCCACCAACAAACTATGAAGGTTCCAATTTCTCATTCTTGTCCACACTTGTTATTTTCTGTTTTGTTTTTCTTTTTAATTATAGCGATGCCGGTGGGTGTAAAATGTTATCTCATTGTGGATTTGGGTTGCACTTCTTTAATGACTAACGACATGAAACATCTTTTCATTTGCTTGTTGTACATTTATATATTCTTTTTGGAGAAACACCTGTTCAAGTCCTTTGCCCATTTTTTTAATTGGGTCATTTGTCTTCGTTATTGAGTTGTAAAAGCTCCTTAAATATTCTGGGTACTAGACTCTTATTAGATATGTGACTTGCAAATATTTTTCCCATTCTGTGGTGGTTCATTCATTTTTTTAAAGCAAATTTTATTTAATTTGTTCCTTACTAAAAAGTCACACAAATATTTCCTTGTCTCTGAATGATTTATGTAGGTCCTCTGCCATTTACCTCTGGGAGTTTTATTGTTTTTCTTGTTGAGGTGCAGCTCCTTGGCATTTGAAGTTGACCTTGCTGATTTTGCTTATGTTCTTTTCAGAACTCTTGTTTGTAGTAGATATCAGTGTGGATAATGGTCACATTTCTTTTTTTAGAAAAATATATTTTTATTGATTTTAGAAAGAGAAGAAGGGAGAGGGAGAGAGAGAGGTAGAAACATCGATGAGAGAGAAACATCGATGAGAGAGAAACATCAACATCGATCAGCTGCCTCATGCATGCCCCCTACTGGGGATCGGGCCCACAACCCGGGCATATGCCCTGACTGGGAATCCAACAGGTGACCTCTGGATGCATGGGTTGATGCTTAGCCACTGAACCACACCAGCCGGGCAGTGATCACCATTTCTTGAGCTCTCTCCCAGGGGCTAAGCACTTTACATACTTGATTACAAGGTCAAAGGACCCTGTGGCACCTTTGCCCTCAGAGCTTTACAAGCAACCGAAGCAGGACACCTCTCTCTTTCTCTGCAGCTCCCCACAGCACAGTACACGGAGTGGTGGTCAGGGCGAGTCACAGTGACAGGAAGGAACTGTTCTCACTCTCTACTCACTTTATTTCCTCAGCAAGCACTCCTCCTTATCCCAGTGTAAGTATCTCTTCTTGGTTCTGCCTGGGCTGAGGCAGCAATAGGAACACCTCCCTTTCTCCTTTCCTCCAAACACACACACACACACACACACACACACACACACACACACACATCCAGGGTCAGGGACCCGACTTCACAATAATTGCGAGTCCTGCCGTCAAGACTGAACTCCTGCACAGCCTCCCAGAGGAGCCCTGGCGAGCCTTTTCTCTGTACCCATAAATGTTTTATGGCTCTCCATTTCACAAAGGCAACTCAGGTGTCTACATACTTCTCCTTGTGACTTGATATCATTTGTCTGCTTGCCTCTCCTAAACTTTGCTCCTTAAACATCATTTCCTCCAGGAACTATTTTTAGCTTCAAAAGTTGACCCCAGAGAACATGAACTTCATTGACCCATCACAATACTTTCTCTCTTCTTCCTTTAAGTATCCCTGAAACACCTCATATTCATTCTTAACAAATTGAAAAGTTGGGTTCTCAACCTGATGGCTAATTTAGTAGTTCAGGCCTCTGCTCTCCTGAGCGGCAACTCCGGTCTGCGGCATAGGTTTGGTAAGGTTGGCCTTGGTAACAAACATGTGAAAACAAGCATCACCACACGTCATTCTGTTAGAGTCAACGAAGAGTTTTGCTCCGCTGAGGGAAACCTCTTCGATCATTGACAGCCTAGGTAAGGTTTGGTTAGGCTGGATGCTAAATAGGGAAGAATAAGGAAAGGATTTGGGAAATAAAAGTTTAAAACATGCTTTTCAGGGCAGTCAACAACACACTTTCCTTCCCCGTTCCATTTTCCCTGAATTCATCCAACAAAGCGCCGGGCTGGATGCGGTTTACGGAAAGTCTGGTATGATGCTCCTCTTCAGATGGCACAGTGAACACATACCTGCTTGCTTAGTGGTGGCAAATGCGGTTTATCTTGGTTTCCATGGGTAGACACTGACGCCATGATGATGCTGTCTTTGCTTCTCTTCTAGTTGGGTGTACTCAGCTTACACGTTGACCTGATGTCTAGGGAAAATAGAAGGCAGTCACTGTGCTGTGTCCGAATGTTCCATCAACCTTAAAAACACCTCTAATATCAACTCACATATTTGGAAAACATGCTTTCATTTTGTCATTAGTCAATATCCAAACACCTGCCAACTTACTTTCTTTTAAAAAAAATATTTTGAAAATTGATTTCAGAGAGGAAGGGAGAGGGAAAGAGAGATAGAAACATCAATGATGAGACAGAATCATTGATCGGCTGCCTCCTGCATGCCCCATGTTGGGGATTGAGGCCACAACCCAGAGAATGTGCCCTGACTGGGAATCGAACCCTGACCTCCTAGTTTATAGGTTGATGCTCAACCACTGAGCCACCCTGGCTGGGCTGCCAACTTACTTTCTAATGCTTCTCCCCCACCAACACACACATATATGAAATGTCACACTCTGAAACACTGAAATTTTTTTACTACCTATAAATTGTGTCCTAAAGGAGTTTCAATTCATTACAAGGCGATTAACTACAGAAATATTTACTGAGTGTCTGTTATGTGCCAGGCCAGGAGATAGGATTAAGGATAAGGCAGACACAGTGCTAAAGGAACTCACAGTGTAAAGGGGAAGCCAGACAAGTCCGCAGTTACACAACACGCCGGGCTCCCCAGACCTCGCTAATCCAGGCTGCTAAGGAAGGAGAGGAAGAAGGTCTGGTCTCTGGTCTCTCTGGTCAGGTCTGAGAACCAAAGACTAGGACTCTTGAGCTTGTAGAGAGTGGATGGACTCCCCAGCATAAAAACCAGTTTCAAAGGCACCGTAATAGTCCAGGCGAGGCAGCGTGGAGACCTGAACTGACACGCGGGTGGGAAGCATAGACATAATACACTTGAGTTTGAAACGTTAAATTTGGGTGCCTGAGGGTACATACACTGGAATTAGCCAATAGAGATTCGAACATTTGAAGATTTGGGTCTGGAGTTAGAGATTAAGGGGAGACTGGAAAGATGGGAGCTGCCATCATAGAGATGACAGATAAAGCAAGAAACAAACAAAATTGTCTAAAAAGAGTATTGGAGAGTGTGAACATTGAGGCCAAGGAATACCAACAGGAGGAGACAAGAAAAAGGCCAAGGAAAGGACTGGAAAGGAGGAGCCGGTACGGAGGAGAAGGAATGGAAGAGGGAATGAATCACTGGTGTCACACGGCTCAGAAGAGTGACTTGGCAAGGACGGACATAGTCCAGGTGGACTCTGAGTCCATGCCTGGCCAATGGCCACTGCACTCTGTGGCCCTGGACGCCATGACTACCACTGATTTCCCTGCAAAATGAACATCTTCTCATACAATTCTGCTTCCTGCTAACCTGCCAGGCGTATGGGCCAAGGGGGCCCTCACTTGTAGCAAGTTTCACCTTCGGTACCTGATGTTATTGTAAAGAGAGCAGGATGCCCTACAGTGGACATTCCTGGGATCAGAAATACCTGAATTCAGATCCTGCCTCTACGCTTTGCTAGCCCTGTGCTTTGGGGTAAATGACTTGACGAGCCTGTGCCTCAGCTTTCTCGCCTGTTAAGTGGGGATCATGGACAAGCAACCTTGAGGGGCTGTTGCAAGGAGGAGGGATAAGGAGGAGGGATGAGGTCCATAAGCCCCAGCCCAGAACCTAGTACCCAGCACCCAGCACTCAGCACCCAGCACCCAGCACGCAGTGAGTGAGTGAGCAGTAAAGGGCAACTGTCAGAGTGGAGCTGGGCACCTTGTTTCTTGAAGATTTCCAGGAAGTCTTTGCACCAAAGGTCAAATGGGGAATATCTATCTCAGTCAGGATTCGGCCATTGCCTTAAATCAAGAAGCAAAGATACACAGCTCAGCTGCACCCAGTTAATCATCAGAGCACAGCTAAGCAAACCTTCCAGGTCCTGCCTTTCCGGGTCAGCTCCCACCACCAGGCCCCTGGTCTGGTTTGGGGGTCTTTCTGCTTCTTCAATGTGTGTGTGTGTGTGGGGGGGGGGAGACAAAGGGGGAGGAATGCTGACAGGTGGGCAGTGAGGGGAGGTTGGCAGCAGGAGGGGGGCGGTACGAGTGGTCGGAGGGACGGTCCTCGGAGGGGTCACCGCACTCTCAGGTGGTGGTGTGTGTGTGGGGGGGAGGTGTTGGGGGGGGGGAGAGGGGGGTTAATCCCAGAATCGATCTGCCCGAATCCGTTGCCACCCCCAGCCAGAGGCTGCCTGCAGAACCCAAGCCCCCCAACCTTGCCTAGGGCGCAGCCGAGCAAACAGGAGGAGTTGGCAGGGGAGTTTCTCGGCGGCCTCTGCCGACCCGCGCGGCCAGAGCGGCCTGCGGAGTCCCCGGGCTCCTCTGGACCCCCGGAATGCAGCGCCCGAGGAGGCCGCCTCCGCCCGGCCCTCTCCCCCGCTCCCCGCGGCGGGCTCACCTGCAAGGTGAAGATCGCCTCCCAGGCCGCGCGGCTCCCGCGCCCGCAGCGCGCAGCTCGCCGCTCCCCGCCGCTGCGGCTGCAGCCGGGACCGCTGCCCGCCTCCCGGGCGCCCACCCCCGCCCCTCGCCTCTCTCCCGGGCGGCCCCAGGGCCCCTCACCTCTCTTCCCCTGCGGGCCCTCACTTCTCTTCGCGGATCTCCCCTCCAGCCTTCTCCTTCCTCCTCTTGCTCCGCCCCCTCCGCTCGCCGCTTCTCACTTACTCCCCCAAGTCACTCATCGCCTGCACCCCGGTTCCCCACTTCGCCGTCCCTTCCTCTGGCGGTGGCATCGGTGCCCACGCTCAGCGGTCAGGCCCGGACGGCTCTAGCCCGAAACTCCCACCACACTCCCAAGAATTGTCCTGACACTGCCTCCTGATGCCTTTCAAATAACTCCCTCCTCCCATCAGGAACGCGACAACCATTCACCCAACACTCTCCTTGAGCGCGGCATTGACTTCACTTACCTGCAATCCCTCCGTTAACAACTTGAGATACAATTGACATGTAATATTGTATTAGCTTTAGGTGTACCACATCATGGTTCCATGTTTGTATACATTGCAAAATGATCACCACAAGAAAGCTAGCTAACATCCATCACATACACAGGCACTTATTTACCACCATCCCCCCCCCCTCAATTTTTCCTCCTTGGGATGAGGACTTTTAATATCTACTCATTAGCAACTTTCAGATAATGAATACAGTATTATTAAGTATTGTCACTATGCTGTACATGACATCCCAGGACATTTATTTATTTTGTAATTGGAACTTTGTACCTTTTGACCCCCTCCACCCATTTCGCCTGCCCCCATACACTCCTTTTTACAACGCTTTAGGGTGCGTATTCTCATCTTCAATCGATGGACTAGAAATTGAGTTGCGCAAGCCCACACGGGGAGGTGGCAGTCCCCGCCAAGTCAGCTTGGCCCAGGCTTTCTCGTTCCACTTTTCTCTGTCCGTCCTCTCCAGCCTCCTGCCAATCCCAGCCTCCGACATGCGGGGGAGGCTGCTGGTGCCTTTACCTGTGCTGAGTTGGAAGACAGGCTGTGGACCATGTGGAAGGCCCTCATCCTTTCTCCCCTTTTCCTGCTGTCCACATTGGCCTCTAGGCCTCTCGCCTCAGCCCCTCCACAGTGTGCACCCCTTCACGGGCACTTCCACCATCCACCCTTTCTCTTCCTCATGTTCACCTGGCTTTTTCCACCTGAGCCCTGGCATGGAGCTCCCCCCTCCCCCTGCTAGGGACCCCTCCCCATCAGTCTAGTCCTGGTGTTCTCCTACTCATCCTTCTCTGACTCTTCCTCAGGAAGACCTGCCCGGACCCCCAGCCAGCGAAGGCGGGGCTCTTGTCTCTCTCACAGCAGGACGCTCTGTTGTTTTCATTCACAGCACCTCCCCCAGTTGTTATTGTGTGCCCGGTAGGTGTTTCAAGCCTGCTTCCCGCGCTTCAGGGGAATCTTCATGAGCGACGGGACAAGGGGGTGCCTGTTTTGGTCACTGTTGTACTTGGCATCCCAGATACAGGAGGGGCTCAACACATAGCCATTGAACAAATGAACGAGTGAGCCTGGGTTCAAGACTGTTTGTCAAGATAGTGTTGTTTTGGAGGATCCATGTTCCCTAGTCCCTCCCCCAGACCACGTTCCTCCATGTGATTCTCTGGTTTCCTCGCACCCTGCTTCCTCCCTCCCTGCAAATGAAAGGGGTTCTAGTTCGACTGCTGATTTCACATTGTGTTACCAAAAGTCAGCGGTAACCCTCGGCCATTTTGTGGCCTGAAGGGAACAGCTTTCTCGTTGGGTTGGTGATGAAAACGAACAGCCTTCCATGACATAGAAGTCTAACTTACAACAAATACCCCAAGCACATTCGTCCTTGAACATCTTGCTATTCTAAAGTCCGTGTCCCTACCCTCGTTTCTACTTTCCACCAGAATGTTCACTCATTGCCTTCAATAACTAGAACTTAGGACTGTATAATTGCACAGATTCTATGAATTCATCACTTGATATTTGTTGGACAAATCGATCTGGTGTGCCCATGCATTGTTCCAGGCATTTTCAGAAATAAGAGAAAAAAGACAAGGGTCCTTCCGGCAAAGAATTTATCACTTCCTGAAGAATTAAAGTACAATACAGTGTACTTGGCCCTGGAAGTATGGAGCACTGAACAGAGCCTTTCTTAGGCTTTGCTTTAGCTTCCTGCAGGGCCTCAGGGTCATGCCGGCCAAGTTGATTATCATTGGCTAATGCTATGAAAAATGTGGCTAATTTAGTGCCAAAGTGTTCATGGCAGGTTCCAGCTTGAACTGTTTCCATAGCCCTGCACTGTCCTCCGGCAAGATCCCAATTCATTAGCAGATCCCTGCATGATTCAGCTCCTGCCTGCCTCTCCAACATCAATCTTAGGCCCTCCAGGGGCCTACGGAGTGGCTGAGGTTCTTCCTTCTCCTGCTTCGGCATGTGCTGGAGCCTCGGTCTCCTCAGCTTCTCCAGCTCTCTCTCTCTCTCTCTCTCTCTCTCTCTCTCTCTCTCTCTCATTCTGAAACACAGGTACAGAAGTTTGGACAGCAAGGGAGGGGAGGGACCCAGACAAGCCGTTTGGGGGAGGCGGGAGAAAGTACCATGTCATGTGGCTGGCTGAAGACCAGGCTCCAGTGGGGAAGGAGTGGGATGGATTAAAATGCAGGTAGGAATGCAGATCATCACTGCAGGGAGCGAGCTCTGGACTCACTCACCACCACCCGTTCCCTGCTGGGGAAAGGGGCCCTGGCTGGTTTCCTGGTGGGGAGGTTTCCTGGTGTGTGTGTGGGGAGGGCTGTGTTGGCGGCCTGCGGAGCCCTCACCCCCCTGCCATCTTTGCTTGCCCCAGCTCTCCACTTGCCACCTGCCTAGCTCCGTGAGAGGCTCTGTGAATCACAAGACCTCGTGGGTCACGCCTCGCCTCACTGAGGAGTAAATAACATCAAATCTCCCACAAGCAGAGCAGCGGGTAGAAATGAGGTGACACGCACAGCCTGAGCTCGGGTTCTGCTCTCCTTCATGAGCTGGCACCGCTGACGCGAGAGGCATGTTGCCAGCTCCGCTTGAGCTTTTTGGGCCACTGACCCAGAGCTCTGGCTGCTTTAGCTTCATCTGGATTTGATATTCAGACTGCCAGACTCAGCAAGAGGCAAAGCAGGCCCAAAGATCACCATTTCGGTCCAAATGGGGGAAATCTGAAATACGAAGACGAGGATACATGGATTTGGTTGTGTCTCCGGTTCCTTGAGACAGGCCTACCCTTCATCGCACTCACGAATGCCGCTAACACTTCCCAGGAGTGACGCTAGTGCTTCAATAGTCAGAGCTGCTTGCCACAGCCTGGCATGCGGAGCCCTTTGAATACATAAGAGAGAATGCTCCTGGGGTAGCCGAGGGAACATGTGGTCAAGCAGAGGCCGGTAATGTCTTGTGGCAGATGCTTTGGCCTCATTCCAAAGAGTGTTGTCATCTTTGTTTCCTGGTGTCTGTCCCAGGCCTGTCTCTGGAGCAGCCTCCCAGCCTGGCTAGAGTCAGGGTAGGAGAAAAGCAATTTGACTTCCTTCCTTCCTTCCTTCCTTCCTTCCTTCCTTCCTTCCTTCCTTCCTTCCTTCCTTCCTCCCTCCCTCCCTCCCTCCCTCCCTCCCTATATATTTTTATTGATTTCAGAGAGGAAGGGAGAGGGAGAGGGAGATAGAAACATTAATAATGAGAATCATTGATCGGCCGCCTCCTGCACGCCCCCTACTGGGGATCAAGCCTGCAACCCAGGCAATCAAACCGCAACCTTTTGGTTCCTAGGTTGATGCTCGACCACTGAGCTAAGCTGACAGGGCAGCAATTTGATTTTCTTATTTTTTTAAAGAAATACTCATAACAGGGTGTAAGTCCAAGCACAGATCTAACACCTTCAAGGGCATATTTCCATTTTCGAAAAAAAGGCTTAATCAAAACATAATTGTTAGAAAGTTGGGTAAGACTTTTTTCCATAGACTTTATTTTTTAGAACAGTTTTAGATTCACAGCAAAATTGAGAGGAAGATACAGAGATTTTTCAAATCCCCTTTCCTCCCACTCATGCACAGCTTCCCCAGTATCAACATCCCCTGCTACAGGGGTACATTCATTACAACCGATGAACCTACATGGGCACATCCTTATCACCCAGAGGCCATGGTTTCTTCAGGGCTGACTCAGTGTTGTACATTCTATGGGTTTAGACAAATGTGTAATGACATGAATCCACCATGACAGTATCAGACAGAGTAGTTTCACTCACTGCCCTAAAAACCTTCTGTGTTTCGTCTATTCACCACCACTATCCTGACCCTACGACCACACTATAACCACTTTTTAATGTCTCCATAGTTTTACCCTTTCCAGAATGTGATATAATTGGAATCATATGGTATGTAACCCTTTTGGATTTGCTCCTACTTATTAATATGCATTTAAAGTCCCTCCATGTCTTTTCCTGGCTCGAGAGCTCATTTCTTTGTAGTGCTGAATAATATTCTATGTCTGGACATACCTCAGTTTATTTATCACTCACCTACTGAAGGACATCTGGGTTGCTTCCAATAAAGCAGCTATAAACACCTGCATGCAGATGTTTGTGTGGACATAAGTTTTGTGTGACTGCTGGTCATATGGTAAGAGTATGTTGTAAGAAACCACCAAACTGTCTTCCAAAGTGCCTGTACCATTACGCACCCCCACCAGCAGTGAGTGAGGGTTCCTGTGGCTCTACATCCCTGCCAGCGTCTGGAGTTGTCGGTGAAGACTTTACTTTTGAGAGGAATTTTCTGGAACCCCCTCACGACCCCAGGCAGCCCTCCGCCCCTGACCCACTTTCCTCAGCATTAGGGAAGCGAGCGTCAGTTCTCGGTGGTGCGCTTACTAAGGGTTGTTGGAGCTTCAGCTGCACCTGTTGCAGGTGGAATAACTTCAACTTCCCTCTTCATGGCACCTCCCGGGCACCTTCACACCTGTCCATCCCACCCCCACCCCCAGACACCTACACTCTGGTGACAAGCTCAAACTTACTCTTCAGGTCTCAGCGGAGACAGCAGTCGAGATGAGGAATTTAAAGCATGAACTCCAGAACCAGATGGCTTGGATTCCACTGATAGCCTCACGGTAAATCTATAGCTCTATCTATAGAAAGAATTGCTTGAAACAGCGCCTGGCACAGAGGTAGGCAGTGCTATGTGAGTGTTCATTACCACTTTCTGCAGGAAAGCCTCCCGCGCCTCTGCTGCAGAGCCCCTTCCTGTGTGTTCTACTTTAATGACCTCTTTATTTGCCTCTGTTCTAAGACGTGAGATCCCTGAAGGCAGCTACTGCCGTTCTC